TCATATGTATACTAAGGCTCCACAATATTTGCTGAATGAAGAAATGATCATTTCCCTTACATGTGCAGAAGACTTTCTCCATCCTTTATTATTGATAGCAGCTTTTAATCAAAATATTTTCAAGGGGCTTATATCACCTGATGAAGACCATAAAAGCACTTTTGAATGATATAGTAATTCTCTCAAATGGATGTTACCAAATGAAGAGCCTTATTCACCAATCATCAGCAATGCCTAGGGCAGATTTTACCTAACAATTATCAAAACCCATCATTAAAAAACAGAAACAATTATTAAGAGTATGTGAAGGGGGAAAAAACAAAATAATATTTTTCTACCTTTAATTCAACAATTTATGAAACAAAAATTTTCACATTAAAACAGGCTATGTAAGATAAAGGGATGAAATGTTAAGGAACAATTTTTTTTCCCACTGGGGATTAAACTCCGGAGTGCTTTTACCACTGAGTTACACCACTGGTTAGTTTATATATATATATATATATATATATATATATATATATATATATATATATATATATAATTTATTTGAGACAAAATAAAATATTTTATTTATATATATTTATTTTTAAAATAAAATATGTATATTTTATTTTGAGACATTCACAATAAGTTGCTGGGGCTAGTTTTGAACTTGTGATCCTCTTGCCTTAGTCTCCTGAGTCATTGGGATTATAGGTATATGCCACCACACCTAGCAAGAGATGATCTTTGAGGGCACTGATGTAATTGAGAACACAGAAAGTTAAGCCACATAAGTGGAAAATTGTTGGCTAAGACTCCACATGGTATTCAGTTGCTATCCCCAAACAGAATATTAGCTCTAAATCTCCAGTCTAGATCTCTTGCAAATAAGTAATTGATTTATGTTTTAACTACATATACCATATTATAAGGAATGATTAGAATCTGAATTTTTTCCTAGTGTCTCATTTATTACCTAAAGAGAATCAGATTATCTCTCTTTTTTTTTTTGAGAGAGAGAGAGAATTTTTAGTATTTATTTTTTAGTTTTCGGCGGACACAACATCTTTGTTTTTGTATGTGGTGCTGAGGATCAAAGCCAGGCTGCATGCATGCCAGGCGAGCGCTCTATTGCTTGAGCCACATCCCCAGCCCCAGATTATATCTTAAATAGATACTACCATTGCTTGCTCAACATTCATTGATTTATCCCCTTTTCTACTATTGGGGCAAGCCCCAAATGGCTATTGTTAGGCTCCCTCACTGAATCTTCCAGTGCACTGTTATGTTTTATGTTATGTTTTTAGTATGCCAAGGCCATGAATCAGCTAAGTTATGGTTAATGTGTAGTCAAGGTCAGAAAAATTCTGATTCAGTATACCTGTACTCGAGGTCATAAACATTTGCTTGTGAGCATGTGTGCACTGATCTAACCAATTGGCGATGTTACTTCTTTGTTTGAACTGTATTGCAATAATGGGGCTAAATGGAACTGACTGGGGCAAAATGGAACTGGCTGGGGGCTAAAGCTGAAGTTGAAGGAGACTGGAGGCTGTTACCATCTCTGACTAAAGCATGTCCAATATCCTAACTGCGTCTTATATCTCTCCCACCTGCTGGGATTATGAATCTGTTTCCTGGGTCTAAGCCCTGGCATGACATCTATATTTTAATCATAATAAAATTTCACATATCCTCCCCAAAAGTCTGTGCCCTTAAGGAGTGGCTGAACTTGCTCCTTAGTTCTGCGATGTGATCTTAATTGGTCTAAGCCCATTATGGAGGCCTTACCCACCTTACCTAGGCCTAGGCAATTTAGCTAATGAAATATATGAGAGGAAAATCTGTTGTGGAAATATGGTTTCCTTAGTCTTAAAAGGGAGCAGAAGAAAAAGATGACCCTTTTTCTGCCTCAGCATCTTTAATCAGGAACTGAGAGAGCTACTTTAGTACCATAAAGGACACAAGACACACTTAAACCAATACACTTAAAGATGGCAGAACAGGGTTGGGGATAGAACTCAGTTGGTAGTGTGTTTTCCTTTCCTTGCATGCACAAGGCCCTGGGTTCTAGTGCCCAGCACTACACACACACACACACACACACACACACACACACACAGGGCAGAACAAAAAGAAGGAACCTGGATCCTTCATATATTGTCAAGACACTGAATTAACCAACCCTAGGAATGGCCTTGCCTCCACTACATATACTTATGTAGAATTTTTTAAAAGGTTAAACAATACAGATATTTAGTAGAGTTTCCATTATTTCAGCTGAAAGCATTTTAACTGATAAAACGCTCAATAATTTCATTCCTCAAGAGTAGCTTCTCAATATAACAAGGTATGGTACATTGGATGCTAAAATAAGTGCCACAATTTCTTCTTAAACTCAAGCTAACTGCTCCTCCCATTGAATGATGGACACTATTTCCTCTTTCCATGAATCTAGTCCTATCAAGGCAATACAGTGGTGGATTATAATTTGAGTTCCAGATCTAGTCTTTGAAACAAGTAGGATCTTCCCTTCCTCCTTGACTCTCTAGGAGGCCAGCTTAGGCTAAGAAATCTTAGCTAAACTCCTGAATAATGTATGACAGACTAGATACCTGTAGAGAAGCGCTGGGGAGAAGAATCAAGTAGCTCTAGCGAAAATGCAGCAACAAGATCCCAGCAACATAAGATCCATCTTGGACCTTCCAGGCCCGTTAAGCCACCATATCTTGACACCTCATAAAGCAGAGACTAGCAATCTCTACTAAACATTGCCTGAATTCCTGGCCACACATTGTGAGCAATAAAACATCTGCTATTCATAGTCTCTAATCTTGGAGTCACATATAGATGTAGTGGCATATAGATAACTGAAACACAAACTAGCAGTATTTTCTTGCTTTTTAAAATAGCTGTTGTTCAAATGTCAAATGTCTTCTTTGATATAAGGAGAGCAACTAAAAACAGAGCGGGGAGGAAGAGCATGAGAAAAAGATTAACATTAAACAGGGATGAGAGGTGGGAGGGAAAGGGAGAGAGAATGGAAATTGCATGGAAATGGAAGGTGACCCTCATTGTTATACAAAATTACATATAAGAGGATATGAGGGGAAAGGGAAAAAAAATCAAGGGAGAGAAATGAATTACAGTAGATGGGGTAGAGAGAGAAGATGGGAGGGGAGGGGAGGGGGGATAGTAGAGGATAGGAAAGATAGCAGAATACAACAGTCACTAGTATGGCAATATGTAAAAATGTGGATGTGTAACCGATGTGATTCTGCAATCTGTATACAGGGTAAAAATTTGGAGTTCATAACCCACTTGAATCAAATGTATGAAATATGATATGTCAAGAGCTTTGTAATGTTTTGAACAACCAATAAATAAAATAAAATAGCTGTTGTTGATACCGCCAGTTACTGGTGACAAGTTCTGCTTCCTCAAATGTTGAAGTTTGAATATTAGAAGAGCATGCCGAGACAAGGAATGTAAAATATAAAGTAGGGTTTATTTAAAAAGGGGTAACACAGACTTTTCCCCTCAAATGAGAGGGAAGAGGGCCATAGCTGTATCCTGGTATCCTAAGAAGCGAGGTTTTGAGCCCTTTTTATATGTCCTAGGCTTCCTTTGTTCTCCTGCCCTCTTCCCCTTATCTGTCTCCTGCCTGAGAATGTGACTAGGCTTGGGAATGCTCTGTGGGTTGGCCAAAATGTGGGAATCAGGTGGGCTTAAGGTGGAAGGGCAGGATGGAGCTGCCAAGGACACATTAATTATAGCTTCCTACTGGGAGGCACAATTCCTGGGACCTCCAACCCTACCAACAGGTTGGAGCAGAAGAAAGGGCTTCGATGAAATTAACATTTCAATCCATCAGGGGACAGTCTCCAGCTTGCCAGACTCAATCAAAATTGGCCTCCTGGATCCGACCTGACTCCATTTACCTATCTATACTGACTGCCTGTCTAATTCTGGCTTCAATTTCACAGTGATTGAGATTATTTATTAACTTAGCGCTGAATGCTAAAGAACGTTTGTTTCCAAATAGCTTTGGTTTAAGTGTGTTAGATCACAAAGAAAACTTAATTTTCTATGTATATATCACATTATTATTCTCCTTTTAACTAGCATTTACAAATAATTACAAATAAGTAAAAAAAAATTAACCAATGAAGTAATAGTCTCAAAAACAATAACACCTTAATTTCAAAAACAGGGAAAGTCATTTCTCTGAACCATAAACATGAGAAGGAAATTTGGGGAGGGGGGTGTTGGGGTGCACTGGGGATTGAACCCAGGAGCGCTTAACCACTGAACTATATCCTCAGCTCTTTCTATTTTTTGAGACAGGGTCTCTCTAAGTTGCTTAGGGCCTCACTAAATTGCTGAGGCTGCTTTGCCCTTCCCATGTTGCTGCCTCAACCTCTCGAATCTCTGGGATTACAGGTGTGCACTACCCCACACGGTGAGAAGGACTAACCTCAAGCTCACAAAGTGAAGACATGAGGCATCATTTTTTACCTACAAATTGCCGACTTTCTTTTTAATAGCAAGATTAATGCCAGCTTTAAAAAAGGGAGGGAAAGCCCGCACTGGAGACGGTAGCCTGGGACCTGAGTCTTTAAATTTTGGGGACTTGAGTGTAGCCCACAGAGCTGTTGCAAGGCTGGTATGGCACGCTTAAAGATCAATATAAGTGATTGTTACTTTTTGTTCTGCTCATTCATCCATCCGTTTACTTTTGTCAGAGATCATGGAAAAGAAGTGGAAAATCAGTCTTTTCTACAGGAAAATCTGCATACTTTGCTAGAAAATTGGGAGTGAGACGAATCGGAAATGACGTCACACCCACTACGATCGGGGAGCGGGAAGACGGGGTTCAAGCAAGCAAAAGCGGCCTCAGACAAGGAGGCCACCTACGGTCCGCTCAACCTCGTTGGCATCTCTGGTTCTGCCAGCCCAGCGAACCCTGAGCAAAGGCGGTGGGAAGAACAGAACCCGCGGCTCTGATTGGCTACCCTCGAGAAAGGGGCGGGGCGGACGGAAGCTCCCGAGGGCGAGCTAGCGGAAGGCCGAGATGCAGATTTCCGGTCTTTGTGGCTCGCCGCTCTGGGTCGAAGCTTGTGCCCTGGCGGCTCCTGGGCTTCGCGGTGAGGGACACGGGCCCCAAGGCGGAGGGAGGGTAGGGCTGGCGCCCTATTTGGGTGCCGGGGCAAGATGGAGGCGTTCCGCTCTTCGGCTTGCCCACCCCCGGGTCAGGGCAAAGACTCCCGAGAGTCCTGGGGAGGCAGCAGAGGCCAGCACTCAAGCTCCTGCCTGCCAGCGGAAAGCAGAGTTGTGCCTCCACCTCCGTGACTTCGCAAATGCTGTGGTTTAACAAGGGATATAAAGAATAGGAAGGCTGAGTGCAGCCAGGCTAGTTGGTAAACCAGAGATTCGTAGTCTGCATATTCTAATTAGTTTCTAAAGTTACCGTAATATTAATAATTTTTACTGTATCCTTCTGAATGAACATAAAATAAAAAGCATACGCTTCTGTGGCTATCCTTCCCATCCGGAAATCAGATCGTGTTTGGTCTATATCTCAAAACTTGGTATATAATTGTTACTACGTTTCGTTTATTTTTAAATTTTTGCTCCCAGAATAGCCTTAAGCTTTTTGACAGCTGAGCCTGATCTTTTTTGCATCTTTTGTGTCTATATCTGTCATGTTTTTGAACTCATGATAAGCATTTTACAGTTCTATCTTTGTTGATTCCTCAATAGATTCATGAACTAAAACCTTTTTACCCAGTGCCACCTCAGGACAGAGCCTGTAATAAGTGCTTCAGTGTTTGGTAAAGAAATTAAGTGAATAAATGTGATCAAATGGAAAATATCCTGTAATATTTTTTTAAATATTTATTTAGTTGTAAATGAACACACAGTATCTTTACTTATTTTTATGTGGTGCTGAGGATTGAACCCAGTGCCTCACACATTCGAGGTAAGCACTTAACCACTGAGCTACAGCCTCAGCCCCCTGTAATATTTTTATTTAAGTCAACTCATGTTTAATTTGAATTTTTTGAAAATGTGCTATTACTACCTTAAATGAAAATCAGCATTACCTGCTATAGATAGAAGCTAGCTAAAAATAAAAAGTCAGCATCACCAGCTGAGGTTGTGGCTCCCTGGTGGAGTGCTCACCTAGTGCCTGTGAGACACTGGGTTCAATCCTCAGAACCACATATAAATAAATAGAATAAGGGTATTATGTTCATCTACAAATAAAATTTTTTAATTAAATTCTACCTAGATGTTATTACCCTTGGAAGTCAGTCTGAGGTCTATATTTTATTTTTAAAAGTAAGTAAGTTTTATATACATGTTAAATCAAATTTCCCTCCTTTGTGTAATCATGATTGAGAGGGAATTGAAAAGGAAGTATTTATCTCACTGTGTGAGTCATGTTAATGTTTCATTCTTTTGCTTCTAAAAATTTTAACAGTATGGGCTGGAGTTGTGGTTTAGTAATAGACTGCTGACCTACACATGTGGGGTGCTGGGTTCAATCCTCAGCACCACATAAAAATAAAATAAAGGTATTGCATCCAACTACAACTAAAACAAAATTTTAAAAAAAATTTATCAGTAGTAGAAATTCTAGAGAGTAGGAGACACTGAGATGTAATGATTTTTTAATGATTTTTAATTGATCATTCTATTGTTGCTTATTAGACTCAAACCTGTTCCCTTTAAATGTTCTTTGAGTTATTGATCTATATTATTACAACTTCCTGAGACTTTTTTCCCTACCATAAGTTAACTGTGATTTTATATCCTTTAGGAAAGAAGAGATTACCCCCAAAATCTCTCACACACAGAACCTGGTTGTACTGAGGTTCTTGCTAAGCTGTTTCATTCCAGAATGGCTGTGGATTCCAGAGCAATTTCAACTCAGATACCTCAGGATCATCAGGAACAAGAATTAATACTAGTGAAAATAGAAGATAGCTTTTCTTGGGGTCAGAAATTTAAACAGAATGGGAGTATCCAATCCTGCCAAGAATTGTTTCGACAACAGTTCAGAAAGTTTTGTTACCATGAGACACCTGGGCCCCGGGAAGCTCTGGGCCGACTCCAGGAGCTTTGCTATCAGTGGCTAATGCCAGAATTGCACACAAAGGAGCAGATCTTAGAACTTCTGGTGCTGGAGCAGTTTCTGAGCATCCTACCTGAGGAGCTGCAAATCTGGGTTCAGCAACATAGTCCAAGAAATGGGGAGGAAGCTGTGACCCTGTTGGAAGATTTGGAAAGAGAATTTGATGATCCAGTGCAGCAGGTGGGAACAGACAGAAGTCATGTGCTGTGGGAAATGCAATTTACAGCCTGGAGCATGTAGTATCATAACAATAGGATAAAAAGTTACATATCTCTTGAACCATAACCCTGAAGTATATCAGAGCTATGCCTCTACTCTCACAAGGTCTGTTTTCCTAGAGATTTTGCCACAAAGCTAACCATATTTTACTAATTTCAGGTCCCAGCTAATCCACAGGGACCAACAGTGCCATGGAAGGATTTGACATGTCTAGCAGCATCCCAAGAGTCAACAAACATTCAACTCCAACCTTTAAAGTCACAACTGAAATCTTGGAAACCCTGCCTTTCCCCTAAACGTGGTGAGGAATAGGAACTTGTCTGGGAACTCATCAAACTTCCAACACATGAGCATCACTGCTGTTATTCTAAACCAGTGGTGCTCACTTTAGGAGCTTTGTATTCAGTAATGCACATGAATTTCAGTCAGCCCTCCTTGTGTCCATTTCCTTATCATTCATTCATTCATTCAAACTTTATAGAGTGCTAATACATGTCTAGTACTATAGTAGGTACTGAGTCTTACTTTCAAGGAGCTTTCAGGTCTAGGTGGGTGGTGGATGAACAAAAAGACATTTCTAGTATAGTAAGTTATGGACTAAAAGTAGGCACTGGGTACTATGGGAGCACCAAAAAAAATGGCACCTAATCTTAAAGGTTCAAGGAACACTTCCTGGAGAAAATCATCTAAGATTTGAACTATGTGTAGAAGAAAGCCAGGCAAATAGGCAGAAGGATAAGTGTCCCAAGCAAAGGCCTCAGTCTTGGAGGTGAAAGAACAGAACTCATCCTAGAAAGAGTAGAATTCAGTTTGACTTGCGAAGAGAATTAACAAGGGAGGAGGGTTGAGAAAAAATAGAGAAGAAAATGGGATTCACATATACAATTTCTTTAATAGAGGGGTATAGTTGAAAGGTGTTGGAGGAAGGAGAGCCATGGTTGAATTTGTAATGTAGAATTTAGCTTTAGGGTAGAGAATGGATTTGAGGGAAGCAAGACTAGAGGCCTGTTAGAGTCTTATAATCCAAGTGGCTAAAGTAAATAAATCATCATGTGTTATGGTGAGGCATAGGGAAGACCAAAGCTGAAAACTGTTCTTCAACATTAAAATTGCATTGCAGTTTCTGGTCACTGTTAAAAGCAGAGTATGAGAGAGGAGTTGAAGGTGTTTCAGTCTTGAATACCTGGGTAATAGTGGTGTTGTGTTTTAACTGGGAAAACAAGCAAATATATCTGATGATATACTTAGTTTGGAGCATTTGAATACTTAGGAAATAAGCACAAAATGGATTGGGATATGGGGAAGCATTAACTTACAATATAAGTAGCAAATGGAGCCTAGGGGATAGAGAGCTTGTAGAGTAAGGATACATTAGAATCCAGGAAACAGAAAAAAAGAACTGAAGGAAGGAACACTGGTGTTTGAGTTATTAGCCTAGAATCTGAAAAGGAATAGTCCGAGAAGTCAGTCAAATATGACTGGAAGGAAATGTCTCTAAAAGGCAGATGTGGTCCTTAGTATCAATGCTACAGAGATGCTGACTAAATAAGACCCTAAAATTACCTACTGATTTATGTAGGTATCAAGTTTGTGACCTTGATGAGAGTAGTGTCAGTGGAAGTGGTGGGTATGAGCAGTTAGGTAAGGCAGAAACTAGATTGCAAAATGGAGATGAGAACATGTCAAGAAATATACTGTGAGTTAGAATGAGGTTGCTTGACAATGTAAGCAAGGAAGAGACATGGACAGTGACATCTTTGTAGGCAGACCCTTCAATTTTCTCTCATAGAAAATGAATATAGAGAGTGAATGGAAAACTTTAATGTGTTTTTTGTTTGTTTGCTGTTTATCATTTCAGATTGTGAAAACAATGAAACAACAACACAGGACATTTCAGGAGAAAATTCACAGGGATTCTCTCGGGAACCTTCATTTGGAGTGGTTAGTGAGCGTGAAAGCAATTTAGACTGGCAACAAGGAAGTGCTATGGGGCAGAAATTAAGAAGATCCTCTCCACACGGGAGTAGTTGTAGGCAGGTGATTTTCACACACAAATCTTTAGGAAAGAGAGACCATCATGATGAGCCTCAAAGATGCTTGATTCTAAGTACAAACCCTATAACAAGTCAGAAAGTTCCTTCAGAAGAGAGACCTTATAGATGTGATGTGTGTGGGCACAGTTTCAAGCAGCATTCATCTCTAACACAACATCAGAGAATCCATACTGGAGAAAAGCCCTATAAATGTAACCAGTGTGGGAAGGCCTTTAGTTTAAGGTCATATCTGATTATTCATCAAAGAATTCATAGTGGTGAGAAAGCATATGAATGTAGTGAATGTGGAAAAGCCTTCAATCAAAGCTCAGCCCTCATTAGACACCGGAAAATTCACACTGGTGAGAAAGCTTGTAAATGTAATGAGTGTGGTAAAGCCTTCAGTCAAAGTTCATATCTTATTATACATCAAAGAATTCACACTGGTGAGAAGCCGTATGAGTGTAATGAGTGTGGGAAAACCTTTAGCCAGAGCTCCAAGCTTATTAGACATCAGCGAATTCATACAGGAGAGAGACCGTATGAGTGTAATGAATGTGGGAAAGCTTTCAGGCAGAGCTCAGAACTGATTACCCACCAGAGAATACATAGTGGGGAGAAACCCTATGAATGTAATGAATGTGGAAAAGCCTTCAGTCTGAGCTCAAACCTCATCAGACATCAGCGAATTCACAGTGGAGAGGAACCTTATCAGTGTAATGAATGTGGCAAAACCTTCAAAAGGAGCTCAGCCCTTGTTCAGCATCAGAAAATCCATTCTGGGGATGAAGCTTATATATGTAATGAATGTGGGAAGGCTTTCAGGCACAGATCAGTCCTTATTCGCCATCAGAGAGTCCACACTGTAAAGTAACTTGTGAATACAACGAATATTATAAATGCTTCAGTAAGATTTTTTATCTTTGTTAGAAATGTTTTTCTTGGAGCAAAACTCCGTAAAGGTTAACTACTAGGTCTTGAGTCATTCTAAGGCTTTATGCAACACTACACAGAGCTAGTGCAAATTGTTCCTTAAAAGCTTTTTCCTGTGACTAATGAAAGCAGAGGATGGAAGAATTATTACTTCCAGCTTTTCGCTTACTGTTAAAAATACTCAGGAAATATGAAAAGCAGGAATGTGACATTGAAACCTCATTTTCTATGAGAATGTCTTGAAAGGGGTTAGGGACTCAGGCTCAGTCACTGCATCTGATTGTCAATGTGCCCCCACTTTGGGAGAGAGTGGACAGCATAAGGGACTGTTTGTTTCAGGAAATCAAAATTTTTTATTAAATCAGAACTGACAGCAGAAAAAAAAAGTGGGGAAAGTTTTATCAGTGTTGAGTCCAGGGCAGGTCAGAAATTAGATATGCATGAGAAGAAATAATACAAATTAATGTATCCAACAATTTATTTTGTTTTTGAGAATTTTCTTTGTACTTGAGACTTGAGATGCAATGGAAGATCAGGCATAATCTCTGTCATGTAATGGGCAAGGCAGTCAGTCATGTAGTAGCACCATGGTGTGGTCAGTGCTATGTGACTCAAGGAGCTCTCAACTTTGGGTAAGGGAATAGGGGAAATGACATGAAAGATGAAAGGACTTAGCCAGGGGGAAGTGTTCATAGTAAAAGGAGCAACAGGTAAAGGCCAATGAAGCATTTTCTGTTGAGCTCTTTTGAAATGGAGTCATGTCCATAAGAAGTGTGGGTAGAACCAGTCTCTGAAGCACAGTGCCTAATGCAATATATGAGCCAATCGAGAAATTTCTGTTTAAAAAGGAAAAACCTAGAATACTTGGAGTGAATAGCTTTGTCTTGGTTGATATGACCCAAGAGAAAGGGCTAATATGTGGTTTCTTTGCCCAACCTACAGGCTAGGCTAGAATTTCTATGGAGTAGGTGGAGGAAGTGGAGGTTAAGAAAGAGCCTTGGTAAATGTTAAGATTCTGACTCCCTCTCCTAGGTATGAGGACACCTTTGTTACAGTATTGGAACTGTTGTCAGGTTAATCCCCAAGTCCCTGAGTTGGAATCTGCCAAATCATTCATTTTCAAAGCTCTGTCCTTATAAGTTCTAGTATACTTCCTTGGACTTGGGTGCTTAAAAAATATGTCAGTTGCTGGGTCTGTGACTTACTCTCTAGACACCTCATGTGTGATATTTCATAGCTTTTGCAAAGGAAAATGACAACAAGTAACAACTGTGATCAGTCAAGACTTCCCCTCTTCTGAGGAACCTAGCACAAAGAAGCTGGTATTTACTATAAGGTGGAAAGTTGTACAGGTTAATCAGCAATAGACATGACCCCATTCAAAAGACCTAACAGGATAGAGGAACAACATACCAAAAACAGATGTGTGTAGAAATCCTCTAGAATCTTGTGACTAGAAAAAGAATTCTAATGAGAAGCAAAGAGAATTAATACTCCTATTGGAATATAAGTAGGCATATGGTGACTAGTAAGAATGACAGCACACCTAACGTCCATTTTTAAAGAGAATATGAGAAAATGGAAGAATAATATGAGTTGGAAATATGGTAAAATGTAACAGTACATGGTGAGAGCTGCTCAATTCATTTTCCTCTTTTTCCACAAAGATAGCAGAAGGAAAAAATACTCCAGAGAGCTCTTACATGTAAGAAATGTAATAGGTATTTGCTAAGGGCTCTGTATGTATACATTATTTATTTCTCTTTTTAGCCCATGTTCTAGGCAGATGAAGTGAAGGCTAAAGGTCATGTCTAGAAGGTAGAACTCATAACCCTATGTAAAATCACTGTGCTATCTTCCCATGAAAAACTTCTAATTGAAAAACTAGCATTAAAATAGGCAAATCACAAAAGACTAAGTGCCAAGGGACAATACATGTATGTCAATCTTATAAAATGTTCATTGAAGCAATTGATATGGCACTTCCAAAATTGATAAGAGATTCAGGGAAATTGGGACTCTATGCTGGTGTCATGTGAATAGACAATATCTTAGCAATCACTACCAGAAGCCTTAAGCATTGCCTTTGGACTTTGAAATTCTATCTGAAAATAAATATACTTCAGAAACCATCATGAATGTACAAAATCTTAAAAGCTGTTAAAATTTGTTGATTAATGTTGAAATAAAGCATTCATGATAGATTGTTAAATATTATAATTGTACTGTATGACCCCATGTAAAAAATATATTTATGCATTAAAAATACTAGAAATGTGCAATCCCAGTGGTTGTCTCTGGGTTGGTGAGGTTATAGGAAATTTAATGTTTTCTTGTGATTTTATATATTCAAATTTTTCTGCACTATTTAAGGCTAGAGGACAGGATAGGAGGGTGTAGCTCAGTGGTAGAACACATACTTATTAGCATGCACAAGACACTGTTTGATCCCCAGCACCAAAAAACTGGAAAGGAAAAAAATTAGGAAAACTCAAAAAGAAGTGCAGGATATTGGGGAAATATTATGAAAAAAATACTTGCTTTCCACAGCACTGTCCTTTCCAAATCTCAAGTTTGTTAGCAAAATTAACTTATCCTTGGTTTTATCACTGATTTTTTTTTAATGGCAGACTTACCCATTTTACATTTTGTTTATATATATATATATATATATATATATATATATATATATTAATATATATTTAATATATATATTAAACAAGTCCTCTTAAAATTATAAATCCTGTACAAATAGAAGCCATTCCCTAAAGACTTACGCTTGAAAAAGGGAGTAGCCAGCCAGGCTCAGTGGTACACACCTGTAATCCCAGCAGTTTGGGAGGCTGAGACAGGAGAATTGCGAGTTCAAAGCCAGCCTCAGCAACTATGAGGCACTAAGCAACTCAGTGAGACCCTATCTACTACAAAATAGGGCTGGGGATATGGCCTCAGTGGTCGCCGTGAGTTCAATCGTTGGTACCAAAAAATATATACATATAAAAAAGCAGTAGCCTTGTGGTCAAGACCTTTGGTTGTAGGTGTTAAAGGAGCTGAAGAAGATAATCCCACAGTTGAAGAAGCTTCAACATTTCTGTTTATTTAAAGAGGCACTGTTAATAAGCTATCAAAGGAAATTTTTTTTTCTTTCACTAGCCTTTTCTGGGAAAGAAAAATAATGTTCCCCCTGCTCATGGCTGTCTTGTTTATTTTGCACTAGAAGCAGTCTGGAGGGAAAAATGTCTGCCTTAAATGAATTTTAAATGGATTAAAAACAGAAAATGTACAATTGAGGCAGAGTATTGTTAATATTGGTTTCTTGCCTTCCCTTTCTCCCTCAGTTTCATAGACTACAACTAATGGTTGTCTGGAAGGATTGGAAATTTGAACCTTGGCCATGGTCTCTATAAGCTTCGATTTCTATTGTAGACCTGCTGAGTGAGAAGAAGGACATGATGGTTTCCCAGGTCCTTGGTCCTATCCAGCAGTTAATGTTGAGGATTCTAACCTGGTGTGTATACCACCACCACCACCACCCCCAAGAAAAGGAAGAGTCTTAATTCTAATGGATTAAGAGATGCATGTGTTTAAAGAGATTCCCTAGTAGTCTCATTCTCATGGTCCTTCCAACACCACCACCAGGTGTCACCTCTTATGACTTTGCCAGTGAACTGCAATCATAGAGACCAGATAGTTTCCTGACACTTTTTGGCCCAGAATATAAAAATTGAGAATACCAATTCCATGAATTATTCCCACAACCTCTTTATTTCCTATCTTCCACTCCTGCTAGTGTTCTCCCTATTTCTGAATGAATAATTTCAAAGCAAAACTTTAAAACTCAAATTTTATTACATCTTGCTTTACATTCTCATACTGAACAGTTAAAGGGTATACTCAACATACAAATGTTAAAATTAGTAACTTTTATTTACAATATTTTTGCCAAGAATGTTAGGATTGGAGAAGAAAACACAAAGTACTCTAAAATGTCAAGTGTTTCTATGGGTAAAGGGATTGTGGGTAATTTATATGTTCTGTATTATCAGCATTTACAATAAGGAAAAACCATCAAATGCTGTTTAAAACATTAAATCATTTGATTGTCACCTACAGGAAAAGGCAACTCACTATCCCATGTCTTATGGTTGATCTCACTCAGTGACAACTGCGTAAACTTTGGGCACAAAGATCCTTCCCAATTTCATCTCTATTACCCACAATAACTATGAACATCAAGTCTTCAAAAATGTTTTTAAGGGCCGGGCATGGTGGTGCACACCTGTAATCCCAGCAGCTCAGGAGGCGAAGGCAGGAGGATTGCGAGTTCAAAGCCAGCAATTTATCAAGGAGCTAAGCAACTCAGTGAAACACTGTCTAATCAAATACAAAATAGGGCTAGGGATGTGGCTCAGTGGTCAACTGCCCCTGAGTTTAATCCTTAGTACCCAAAAAAGAAAAAAGTTCTTAAGTATTAATTGCCCTCAACAATTGTAGGTTAATTAAAACTGCCAAAGTAAAAATAAAAATTAGGAAAGTATAATTTTGAGGAATCTGGTTAATTTAACAAATATTTATTGCCCTCAAGTGGCTTAGAGTTTGCAGAGCTGGTGCTGAGGGTAAGGGTAAGGGAATGAAGAATATAGGGTCTGGGAAGGCAAACTTCTCATTTCTGGGTCCCTGGAAGTTTCCCATTTCCTGAGATCCAGGGTCATGAAACACACACTCTAGACCTCACTGTCCCTATAGCCTCCGATGTATATTCTTTATTTGGTGTGCATCATGCCTGTTTCCATAAGATGTACCAGTCTTCTACTACCCTCATTCTGAGTACTTGAAGATGTAATAGTTTATAAGTTCTGTATAGTGATTATAGAGAAAATCCAACACATGTCTTCTAGGCACATGTCCTGGCTTCTTAGCCACAAGTCCTACCAGACTATGACAACTAATTCCTGCTAAGTGAAGAGTCCTGATGTCTCCAGATTCTCCTCTTTTCATGCCCTATATGTCCTATAACCTCTGCCTTCTTCTGCCCTTGACCTGGCTAATTTCTACAGTTTAGGTCTCAACTGAGATATTATCACATCCAAGAAGTCTTTAGAGATCAGGTAAGGTAGCCCTGCCATGTACTCCAGAAACACCCTGGATTTATCCTATCAAAATACTTATTGCACTTTACTTACTTATTTAGTAAATATGTATATTCCATTAACCCTTAACTCTGGGACAGCAATGACCATATCTGTCCCAAATAGCTAAACACAACAGGTGCTTAATAAATAAGCAAACCTGAATTGGCCTTGTAGGAAGCATAGGGCTGTGGAGAGAAATGGGAAGTGGGAACAATGAACCACCATTCCTCAGATAATATTAAACTGCCTTGGATCTTGTTAAAACAAGCCAGGGCATAATTCAACATTTCCCATACAAGTCAACATTTCAGGTAGTTGAATAATTCTTAGTACATGCCTTCACCTACCAAAAGCACAAACGCTGAGCAGGGATCTTATCCTTGCCATCATGTAAGGAGCTCTTTTAGGTACATAATTCTGGACTTGCATGGTGGCAGTTATATTTGGGTTGGTGAGGTAAAGGTGGTATTGATGAGAGACTTCATGCAGATAAAGTTAGGCATTTCTAGAGAATACCCACCATTCTTTTCAAAGACCTGATTTTTAAAAAAAATTCTTTCCACTTAACACTTAACAATCGTAACAATCATGTGGATCTCCTCTTACAGAACTGAACTGGGCTGGAAGGACAGACACCCTACTCTCAGGAAAATTCTATCTTCTGTTGAGTCTCATCCTCAAAGTGAATTTTTTGCATTTCACAATTATACAACTCTTACTCAGACTTAAACTCTGGTGTGTGTCCTTTGATGCTGCATAAGACCTGATCTATGTCTAAATGTTTTCCTACATTCTCTACATTCATAAGGTTTCTCCCCAGTGTGGATTCTCTGGTGCTGGGTAAGGGCTGAGCTCTGATTAAAGGATTTTCCACATTCATTACACTCATAAGGTTTCTCTCCAGTGTGAATTCTTTGATGCTCAATAAGGATAGAGCTCCTACCAAAAGCCTTACCACATTCAATACATTCATAGGCTTTATCACCAGTGTGAATTTTCTTATGTTGAATAAGGGCTGAGCTCCGGCTGAAAGCTTTCCCACATTCCCCACACTCATAAGGTTTCTCTCCTGTGTGAATTCTCCGATGCCTAATGAGCTCTGAGCTGCCCCTGAAAGCCTTTCCACATTCACAACATTCATATGGTTTTTCACCACTGTGTATTCTCTGATGTCTAACAAGGTCTGAGCTCAAACTGAAGGCTTTGCCACATTCTTTACATGCATAAGGTCTCTCTCCAGTATGAATTATCTGATGTCTAATCAGCTTTGAGCTCTGGCAAAAGGCTTTCCCACAGTCAAAGCACTCATAGAGCTTGTCCCCTGTGTGAATTCTCTGTGGTGTAATATCATTTGAGTTCAGATTGAGATTTTCTTCAATTCCATGACATTCAGGGAAACACTGCTCTGTGGGGATTTTCTTGTTGAACATTGCCAGGCTGTACTGTCTTTCCTGGGAAGGGAGCTGACTCATTTTGTTCATTGTAGCACTTCCCCTTTGCTTCTCAGACTTGTCCAGACCGTCCAAAGCTTCTTCAACTATCTGTACTGAAGCAATTTCCCCAAGAAGTCTTCCTGGAGATATCATAGCAGTTGAGGCTACACATTCAATAATTTCTTGCTTTGCTGCCAACATTTTGTCAGCTACCATCTTGCCATCTAAAAGTGTGAATAGAAAATGCAAGTGTCATTTACTCTCCATGTTGAAAGAAAGGAAATTATTGTAGTAAGAGCAGAAACTAAAACAAATGAAATAAGTATTTGCTTATTAGGAGGAAAATTTCTTAAAACTAGCTTCCTAATCTAGGAAAATTCAGTGAAGTGGCCTGGAGTAGTGGGAGGTGAACCCCTGAAGTCAAGTAGACAGACAAGGAGAGTTAATATTGGAGAGGAGTGACAATGAACTAGGAAAGCCCTTAGTTAGAGGTGATAAATAGGAGTATCAGTGAGAAATTATAAAGCTAGGAGATGATTCTGGAGAAGAATATATTTTAGGTAATGCAGGAAAGGAAAATATATGATGCAGAATGATCAGGGTAAAGATGTCTGAGTCTTAAATCAATGGTACTTCTAGCAAAATAAGAGAGAAGGAGATATGATTATAAAATGCTTAGGAGGTTAGTATTGAACAAAGGTAGCTGGTCAAGAACTAGAAAGCATGATGGCAATAGCAGATTCTAGCAGGTTTCAAATGGAACAAATAAATACAAGCAATATAATAAGATGCACAAAGCATGAGAAAGGAATATATCGGGGTTCCTGACTCACTCTGGGGTTAGGTGGGAGCCTTAGGGGTCCATCTTTTCAAGTGTAAGGGATCAAAGAAGGTCGATGGAAATAATTGGCAAATGTGACTGCCTGGATCCAAATCCAGTTCTCATACAACACGCTCCTCTTTTTTTCTAGATTTCTAGTAACTTACAACAGAAACGGGTGATATCAATTGAATTATTTCTAGAACTCTGAAGTTGCTCTCATCCTCCCAAAGTCCTCTAAACTTATATACATTTTACAGATCAGGAAGCTGAGGCTCAGAAAGAGTATGAAAGGCTATAGAATTAATAATTGGTAGAGTGAGAATTCAAACAAATCTGCTTAAACTCAAAGTTTTCAGTTTTTCTCTGAGTTATCTGCCTTCCCTTTGGAATGAAGCAGGACTGTAGATGAACTAAAAAAATAATTTAAAACTCATTTTTTCTTTGGAAAAGTTATGTTTTTGTATGAAAACAAGTCTTTCATTTTATATTCTTTGAGAAAGAAGTAATAGGTTTCTCTGTTAGAATAGTTCTTTCCTTTATCACACCTGCTACCTGTTCAGTGACATGTTTGGTATAAAATCCTTTTAACTAAGAATGTGACCTCTGATTGCTCAATGACAGATACTTTTAGCCTTAATGTTCTTTAGATGATGTTGCACTGCCAATGCAGACCTCACTACTAGTTTGCTGTCTCTTGCCCTTGGCTGCAGTGAGTGTTGGCTCCTCCTATGGTCTGAATATCTGTGTCCCCCCAAAATTCATATGCTGAAATCCTAACTCCCAAAGTGATGGTATTAGAGGGTGGAATCTTTTGGGAGATGATTAGGTCATGGAGGCAGAGCCCTCATAAATGTAACTAGTGCCCTTATACAACAGGTCCAAGAAAGCTCATTGGCTCCTTCTACCATGTAAGTACACAGGTGCAATCTATGAGAGAATGGCTTTCCACCAAACACCAAATATGCCAGCATCTTGATAATGAACTTCCTAGCCTCTGGAACTGTGAAAAATAAATTTCTGCTGTTTATAAGCTACTCAGTTTATGACATTGTGGAATAGCAGCCAGAACTGACAACTCCAGCCAGGTGTGGTGGTGCATACCTCTAATCTCAACTATTGGGAGGCAGGAAGAGGGCAAGCTTGGGCAACTTAGTAAGACCCTGACTCAAAATTAAACAAAAAAGATTGGGAGAGTAGTTCAGGAGTAGGGCATTTACATGAGGGCCTGTGTTCAATTTCTAGTACTATTGAGAAAAACAAAGACAACTCCTAATCTTCCACAACGGCCCCCTTCTTTGGAGAATTGCCCTGGATGATGAAAGCCACTAGCCCAGGAAACTATTTCACCCTCACTGCCCCCACTGCATCAAAAGAGCAACTCTGCAATGCAATCATGCTCTTAAGGCTCCAGAACCTTTCCAAGGATTCAACCAAGATTAAGTTTTACCTAAGACTATATCTTTCTTTGCTTGGTTCCCTTCCTGATTCTGTAAACCCTCTATTAAGATTTTTCCCAAAGAACATGTCCTTAATAAATTACCTGCATCCATATCTCCACCACCAATTCTTCTTCTAACAAGATATACTGTTAGGCTAGTAAAGAGCCTACAAGAAAATTATAACCCAAGGTTGTAAAAAAAAAGGCATAGTGACTCTTATAATCATATCAAGGCAGATCCTTCCAGTGATATAAACTTTATGACTTAGGTGAAAATATGGATTATTCACATTAATTCTTCAGACATCAGCATAAAGTGACTTATCAGGAACCCAGTCAAGTCCATCCAAGACCACACACTTGGACACCAGGCATAAATGAGGATGAGAAATTTTGCTAAGTCCAAAAATGTCTAAAAGACAATCACTATTGCTGATAATGTGATTGAATCTATAACATAATGACATTGTGAAATGAAAAACAATGAAATAAGGTGTAAAAGATAAGAGTTGGGGAGAAAAATCTACTTTAAATCTATATTTTAAAGTAATCAGATCATCACTAAAATATTTTATTTTGTCTTTATCCCTGAACCTCAAGAGAATGTGGAGAATTTGAAACATGACCAGAGAAATGTCGAAATAAACAGAGACAAAGAACACAGGAGTCAGAGACAGTGAGAGGCTTAGTTAGACAAAGGTCAAAGGTCATTTTCCTTATTCAAGTACAAGTATTTTATGAAAGCTCTGCTAAACAAACAAAAGGAACCAAATTGAGGCTAGGAATATTTCATATAGACTTGGGAAATAACTTTAATATTAGTATGCTAGGCTTCTATAAAAAAAATACCACAAAAACAGGCTTAAAGAAGAGGAATTTATTTTCTTACAGTTCTAGAGGCTAGAAGTCCAAAATCAAGTATCAGAAGTTTTGGTGTCTTTCCAAGTCAATCTCTCCTTGCCTTACAGATGGCCACCTTCTTGCTTATTCTCATGTGGTCATCTCAGTCTGTGTTGTTTGTGTACTAATTTCCTCTTATAAGGTCACCAGTTATATTGCATTAGAGCCCATTTAATGACCTCATTTAACCTCTTTAAAGGCCTTATCTCCAAAAAATACAATTATATCATAAGATACTGGGACTCGGGGCTTCAATATATGAATTTTGGAAATATATAATTTGTCCCTTTAAAAATGCCAATAAGAAAAATCCCAAAAGCACTTAAGGAATTATAGTGGAGTCTCTGGCCCCTGAGACCTTAAATAATCTACCCTAAATGATTCAGATAATACATATTTTGAATACCTTTGGCCTCCAGGGGTTGATGTCTTGGGAGCTTGGTTCCCAGTGCCATGATGCAGGAACTGATGGGATGTTTAAGAGATGGAGCTCAGTGGGTGGTCCCTAGAAGCCTGTCCTGGAAATGGATAAGGTATTTTCTCATGGGACCCTGGTGAGTTCTTGTGAGAGGATAGAAAAGCCTGAATCTGACCTTTGAGTCACTTTCACTGCTTCATGTGATCACTTGCTCCTGCATGCTCTCCTATCATGTCACTGCCATGATGCAACACAGCAGAACTGAGCCAATGCAGGTGACATGTACTTGAAGCTCCCAAACCATGAGCTACATAACTTCTTATCTTTATAAAGTTAGCTGTCCCATGTATTACATTATAGTGATGAAAAACCAATTATAATCCATTTAGCTGTTTTAAGATAGGTGATTTGATCATTTTTTAAAAATGCATTTTAATGTAGCTCCTACTTGGTGCAAAGGATACTTAAGAGGGTAGTATCAGGGTCTGATGCATGGGGGAAGGTTGAGAGGGAGTTTTCAAGGACACTTCATTGGATTAATAGAATTGATTACTTTGGTGAATTGCTAAGGTTCAGGATCTGACCTTGAAGTTTGTGTCATTACATGCCTCTCAATCAACACACTAGGTATGGATTTCTCTCTTGGAATAGAATCTTATAAACCAAGTTCATGAAACCGAGCAATAAGGCCATCATGAAAATTACTATGTAATCATCATACAAAACAGAGTGAATTAATGCATTTTTATTATAGCTAAGTTTCATAGGAAGTTAATAAGATTGCTTGATGAAGATGAAATCAGAATGATAATGAAAGTCTTATGACAATAAAGTAATAAGCTGATGTAGCTGGTGCCCCTAGGGATGATGTTGCCTTAATCAAAGTCCTTTTTGTACTAATTCTCAGCACCCATGACATCTATCAATTTATTGCCTCCTAATTTAGAATCTACCCTTCATTGTACTATCTGAAATACTGGCATCAAGCTGGCATGATATGGGTTTTAATAGTATACGGGGCTAGAGTGCCAGTGGAGGAGGAAGGAACTTTTCTTTGTTGATCTGGTGTGCTCTCTCGGTTTCTGCAGTGTGGGGGACAACCAGCAGTGCATACTCCAATGAGTTTCAGAGGCACTGCCCCCCTCAGCAGCTTCCCTGCAAACTCTGTGCCATGTCACTTCCCCATTGGGGGCTTCTGGCACCCATAGGGTAGCTCCTCAGTGAGTGTGACCAGCTGGGCATTTCACTGAACATCTCCAACTAGTGGGTCATGGCTGTTACCTCTCCAGAGAGATCTGGACTTCAGCCCTGGCAGATGGGGGAAAGACATAGCACCCTCTTGCAGATACGTTCCTTCCTTGGGCATTCTGCCTTAAGCCGAGAGCCCCCCCCCCCCGCCCCAATACCTTACTCCTGACAATTTAGAGTTTTAGTATTTAGTTATACCACTTAATGGTTAATGCTAGTTACAGTCCATAATTCTTTTATTTATTTATTTATTTATTTTAATTAAGTATATATGATAGCAGAATATATTCATTGTAAAACAGTTCATAATTCTTAATGTTAAACTTTCTGTGTTCAAGTTTCTGTTACTGATACAGTATTCATCTTCATCTTAGAAACTGCCTTGTTAATGGAATTCAAGTATTATTTTAAAAACAGAATATTAGTCTTTGAACATTATGGTATTATAGAGAATTTATTAAAGACCTTTGTTTTTAACCCAAGTTAAAACAATAATGCAGAGCCAATGGAAGAGTATTTCAAGGCAAATGGGGGTTCTTTCCACAATACTTAGTGACAGCTGCAAGTGACTGTTATTAAGTAAAATGTACCATGGAACACTTGATCGCCCTTACCTCATCCTCAACCCCAAAAGGGTTAAAGATCCTCACCTCTCTCGTGGAAATCTTGGGGCTCCTGAGTCTCACTCCTGCATTGGCTCTCCAAAGACTGCAGAGGGTGACTTAGAGACTTCAGAACTCCTGTGCATGTTGTGTTCTTCCAGATCATTTTCTGGCCACAAGCAGAGTCCTAGAAGTAATCAAGTACTAGCACTGTGATTCTAAGGATGCACAAGAGGAAACTCCCTAGAACAACAGGGCTAAACAGAAGGAATCAGAAACCTATTCAGATATCAGTGAGAAAACAACAGGTCTAAAAATCCTAATGACATGAACCAATGAGTGAATAATTAATACAGTATAAAATAGAAATTGGATAATTCCATGAGGAGTCAATGCGACTCATAACAGCTTCCCCATTAACTTGAAATAGTCAAGCAAACAAACAAAACACCTACTTCTTACCTGTTGCCTTGATTCATCGAGTTCTTTCTCCAACTCTTCCAGCAGAGTCACAGCTTCCTCTCCATTATCTGGCCCCTGCTCTCGCACCCAGGCCTGCAGTTCCTCAGGCAGGATGGCCAGGAACTGCTCCAGCACCAACAGCTCCAATATCTGCTCCTTAGAGTGTGCCTCCGGTTTCAGCCACCGAGAGCAAAGCTCCTTGAGCTGGCTCATAGCTTCTCTGGGCCCACTGGAGTCAGAATAACTAAACTGCCTGAAACGCAGGCGGAAGACCTCCTGGCTCTGGGAGTTCCTCTGAAGGCCAAAGTCCTGCCCCCAAACATAATTCTCTTCTTCAACCTTCACAATTATAAGTCCTTCTTGTTCTTTTGGAGCATGGTAAGCCAATGCTGTGATCTCTTCTGACATTCTGGGAATAGACAGTCTGAAAAAGCTATCCAGCTGAGGCAGAGAAGAGATGGAAACTTGTATCTGAGGAATTCCTTCTGAATTCCAACTCTTCAGGGAGGCCCTGAAGTGGATAGTGCTGGTGTTATACAAGCAAACCATATGCTTGGAATGTAAATACATGTTTTTGAAGGCCAGTTGCCAGGGAATATAGCACTATTATTATTAGTAAGAAAACTTACTAAAAGGGAGCTTCCATATAAATGATACATCTATAGATGATTCAAGAATTTTGGGGGATGTGAAACAAAACTTTAATATAATCAAAACCAATTTGACCTTTGGGAATAATTTTATGCACAAAATTAGGGATAATAAATAGTATTATATAAAGATAAACCTAATTGTGCCCATTCTCCAAATTAGACTACTGAGAATCATAAGCTGACCAAAGGCATACAGCCAGTGAGCAGAGCACTGGGCTCTTCAATCAAAGTAGTTAACTCCCCAAAGAAAGGAACTCACACTTCGTAAGTACCTACTATGGGCCAGGTAGTTTACAAATTCTATTTTATTGGGGCATGACAGTAACACTATGTGATATTTTGATCCCCATGTTTTACAGATGATGAAAGCTTCTTGAAAGTTAATGAATTTTCCCAAGGTCCCAAACCAGTCAAGACATGACCTCAGGGTTGCCTGGCCTCAAGAACGTCTCCTTTTTATTCCAGAATTGGTTAATGCCCAGGACAACCTTGATTGTTACTATAAACTAGGAATAATGATGAAAAGATTAGAAAGGAGTTATGAAGAATGGCTATACATGTACAAACAAGGAAAAGTTATCCTTGAATTTGTCACAAGATTCTGAAACAGCACAAGGAAAAGAGAAAGAGATTCCTTCATCCATTTTTTTCAACAAATACTTGAACATTAACTATGTGCTAGCAGGCATACTAAACAGGAGTCTCAAGATAATGAGTTCTGTCTGCAAGGACTCAGTTTATTTAGTATGTGAAATTGACAGGTAAATACAGATTGATAAATCGAAAGATGATGAGCACAAGAGAAAGACCACTGACCAAGCCCAGGTAGAGAGGGGAGAAGTGTTAGAAGATGTAGCCTATTGAAGAAACTGAAAATGGTTTAGGGAGGCCAGACTAATGGGTGTCACCTCTGGCTATGTCTTAGTATAGAGGCACCATGAGAGATTCATGGAGTCAGAATCTCCGGGGATGGGGCTTAAGTGAGTGTCCCTAAGTGCTTCTAATAGGTAGAAGCCTGGTTAAGAATAATATGTCAGAGCCTAGGGTACAATTAAGGAGAAGAGATAACTATAGGGGAACAGCCAAGCCCTCCAGGGTCCAAGGGGTTGATCCCTCATGGCCACAGGAATGGCTGGAGGATTTATGTGCCCACAAAGAGAGAGAAGAAGAGATAAGTAAGGGTTTGTTGCAACCATTTAGACTATGGGAGTCAAAAAATATAAAGATAGGACACACTGAATAAGGGTTTGGAAGAAAGGGGAATCTAGAAGGACTCAGGTTTCTGGCTATTCCTGGTGACTGGAGGTTGCTGGTGTCATTTGCTGAGCTATTCACTAAGAAAGTTATGTCTGAGGTACCAACAAAGCAGCATTTCCTAAACTCTACTTTACCAGATATTAACAGGTGCTTCAAATACACCAAAACACAATAGAAACTTGGGGATGTTTTTCTTAATTTTTTGCAGAAGAAAAATAATAAATATATTTTTTAGTTCTTATTATGTGATAATTGTAATTTAAGAAATCATAAGATTAAAAAAATAAACAAAAAGGAATCACATGATGCTGCACTGTCAGACCTGTGTACATAGCATTTACCAAGGGCTGCAGCACATCTATGTGTATCCTTAGTGACTATTAGTTTCTGTTATGTCTCTTGCCTTTTTTTCAATGTTTGTGGTATTATTCAATTTTACTATAAATATTATGCCTCACCAACTCATCTTCCATAGGTGTGTGGCTGAAGGAAGGATATAAACTCCTCCATCTCCTTCATAGGTCCACCCTCTCTAAATCAGAATTCTCTAAGATTAGTCCTAAATTCTCCCCTTTTTTAACTCTCCACTTTCCTCCAAGGCTACCTAATCCTCACCTTTGTTTACCATCTTCTAGTATAGACCTCCTATCTGAGCTCCAGACCTATTTACCCACAGTTCTTCACTCCCATCATAACTCCTCTTGAATTTCTCAAATGCATATCAAATAGTACATTCATAAACAACTCATGATTTCTCCCATATCAAATCTGCCCTCTTCCATTGGTTCCCTTTCAGGTAACAGGAATATCTTACCTGGCTGTATGGCCAGAAATCATCCATAACAAAATTCTTTCTTTTACCTCCTTCCTTTATTTAATGCATATTAGCCTACTGATTTTATTGCCTGTCTGCCCGTCCTAAACTCTGCCACCACATATTCATCCTAACTGTCCCATCTGTCATACTTTACAATAACTTCTCTACTGACTTCCCCAATGCACTGTATCCCCATTACTCTATTAATCTACATTGTAACCAGAGTGATCTTTTCAAATTGCAAATCTGACCTGTTCTTATAACCAGTTTTGTTTTGTTTGTTTTTAATGATTTTAAACAAAAATAGACTAGTATTTCTCACAGTATTGTTTATTGATCAAGTTTAACTATTAGTTTCAACTTTAAAAAAAATTTTGTAGTTATAGATGGACAGCATGCCTTTATTTTATTTGTTTATTTTTATGTGATGCTAAAGATTGAACCCAGTGCCTCACACATGCTAGGCAAGTGCTCTGCCACTGAACTACAGCCCCAGGCCCTAGTTTCAACTTTTGATCCCTAATGTGATTGTGATCTTTTATCAGTTGGGCTGCAGATTTGAAGGTTCCAGTGGAGAAGGTTTCCAAGGGGTATTACTCTCTGTCTAGCAACTGATTGTGGCTAATGTCAGGAAGCTTGGCTGGGGCTATTAATAGGAATGCTTACACATTTTCTCTCTGTGTGCCCCTGACCAGTTTTTGTTGTTGTTGTTGTTTGTTTGTTTTTTAATAAAAGCAAAGTACTTTTAGTCAAGGTAAAGCTCTCTTTGACTGCACTCATTGCATTTATCTGGAATGCACTAAAGTATAATCAGAATCTCCTAGATGAGGTCCCAACAATTATATTTGTAATATATTCTGCAAGTGATTCTGATGTACAACCAGGGGTTAAGAACCCTGGATTAGTCAAGGAGACACAGGAGACAAAGTTAAAAAACATTTCTTTCCCTCAAAGCACTTTTTTTTCACTTTGTGAGTGCATATACTTTAGTGGGATCATTTGGTTAATACCTGTCTTATCTATGACTTCACTGTAAGGTACATCAACATTTTTGCTCACTATTGTATCTCCATCACTCAACCCAATGCATAACTCATAACACCTTCTATCTATATAAAAGAATGAACTGGAAAATTCAAAGAGGTAGTGGTCAACATTGTCAAATGCCTAGTATGGACTGAAAATTTTTCCCACAGCATTTCTCATATCTACTATAGCAAGGTGATCTTGCTCACAGAAAGAGCACCAGTTTCAGGGATGATGGTATAGCTCAGTGGTAAAGTGCTTGCCTGGCATGTGTAAGGCCCTGGGTTCAGTACCCAGTATGAGCTGGAGACCAACTTTGAAGTCACACCACCCAATTTAGACTCATGATGCAGTCTCTAACTAGTTGTCCAACATCATTCACCAAATGAATCCTTCTGAAATCCCATTTCCTCTCCTAAACATGGAATTAATAATGTAACATTGCAGAGCTATAGGAATTGGAAACAACAAACAAGTATCTGAGTTTGTGGGCTGGTGTACAAAACATGTCTTTTTATTATGTTGCTTTGGCATCTGGGTACTTAATGATACTGGAGAGACTGTTTCTCCCAGGACTAGCCAATCCCTAGAGATAGTAAACAACTCACCTGTGAGCATACCTTCCAAATGAAACCAACAGTCCCAGAGCCCCACCACCTTCTCTAAAGGGCTCTCATACTCAAGGCCATCACTCCCCTCTACTCACATTTCATGATCAAGTATCAAACAACTAGGAAGAGCCCCTCTCCCCGAGAGTTCACTAAAATTATCCAAATCAGCCAATCCTACCCCTGCTTACCCTGTCTTGATGGTTTCTTCCCATAGAACCCACAAAACAGGCTCTTGCCCATTTCCCCTCATTCCCTCTGCCTCTTGACCAATTGGCAGAGTAATTCCACATGCTTTCCTGTGGAGGCATGCCCCCTTTTCTTGAAAACCATAACAAAGTACATTTTCAAAGGCAATCATCTTCTGATCTGTGGTCCTCACTAAACCTGAACAATAAAATCTACATTTTTAAAAAACTGGCCAAGAGTAGGTACCCAAGACATCATAGATAAGGGTAAATTCCACATCACAAAGTATGGGTTACAGAATAGACTTTATTGGGGAAAATTTGCCAGCCAGCAGTTGGTAAAAGAAAGTATAGGTCCACTGATTCTCCCATCATCCCACCAAGAGAAAGTTTGGAAAAAGGTGTTCTAGTGTTTCAGGGGAGAGCTTCTGCTACCTTCTTATAGTGCAAATTTGAGAAAGCAGTCTTGTCAGTGGGGGTAGAAACCAACTGTTTCTCATCAGAATTCTGGATTTAGGTATTTATGTAGCTGTCTAGCAAACCAGCTTTCTAGTACCTGGTGTGTGTGTGTGTGTGTGTGTGTGTGTGTGGTGTTTGGTGGGTGGGTGAAGCCTTGGGGAGGTGGGAATACTGAGCTTGCCTATAGCCCCTTCCTCTGGAAGAAGGCATTTCCCTCCCTGGTCAGAGTATATCCAGGCAATCCTGCTTGCTGAGGCGTTCGGTTATTACAATGTATCTGCTTTCTAATGTAATGCATTACAATGAATCTATTTGATCACTTAATTGTAACAGAAAACACCAATTGAAACTTTATTAGATTCCAGCATTATCTACCTTTTAAGTGTCTTAATTCATTTCATCTTCACAGCATTCTATGGTGTACATTCAACTGTTTGAAGAGCAACAGAACATATGAAATAATTTATCCTAGGCTATATGGCTTCTAAGTGATATGGTCTGATTGTTTTGAAACCAACTCATCTGATACCAGGGTACATCCTCTTGGATGCCTACTCTGACGAAATATTGTTTCATAAATGCATTCTCCCACCAAATCAAAACGCCCTTTAGAAAAGGGCCAGCATTTTCCCACATACTTGTTTAAAATATTTATCAAGGGGCTGGGGATGTGGCTTAGTGGTAGAGTACTTGCTTGAAATGCATGAGGCCCTGCCTGGATTCGATCCCTAGTACCACAAATCAATTAAGTATAAAAGTAGAAATATTTATTGAATGCCTATCTGTGCCCTGAGCAAAGAGGTATCAAGACAGTGTCTTTGCCATCACATAACTTAAAAATAGCGAGAGGCGCAAGTTAAACAGAAAGCACACTTAATTACCTAACTTAATTGTGATGAAAACTACGAAGGGGAAAGTGGAAGGTGTTCCGGGAGTGTCTGATAGGATCACACCCAGACTGGAAAGCCAGGACGGATGGCTGAGACCTAAAAGCTCGCTTTGGCCGCCTGAGAAGTGGCAGTAAGGAGCCCATCAGCGCCAAGTCCACCTCCTAAACCAGCAGCCGGGCACACAGGAGGCTCGGTGAGTGCTGGAGGAGTCAGTGACCGGTGAATGAGCGGTGGAAAAGATGAACGGATGCGCTGACCGACCGGCCAGCTGACAGCTAACCTCGAGGGGCGGGCCCTGGTACAGCCGCCGGCTCTACGGAGGCAAGCCGCGGGAGCCCAGGTAAGGCGGCGGGGAGGATTGAGGCCGGACAGGGGCGGGCGGGGAGGACTGAGGCCGGACAGGGGCGGGTTGGGAAGCACCCGGGGCCACGCTGCCAGACCTCCCCACTCACCCTTCGCTCTGCCGGCTGCGGGCACCGACCCCAAGGAGGGAGAAAGAAGGCCTCCCGCTGCTTGCTTACCGGAAGTGCGAGCGGGCGCGCCCCTCTAGGAAGACCGGAGGACTGCACCTCCGTGGTCCACACGCCTCTCCGCGCAGGACTAGTGTCCCGGGAAAAGGAGATGGTTTTGAACTCTTGATAAAAAGTGTAATCGGTAGTTACAGTCGGAGCTGACCTTGAGGGTTGAATCAGGTCAGTGACTGGAAGAAAGCCTTAGGTTTTTAAGGCATGTTCTGTATCCGTAGTGTCCTAAACGGAAGTCATTAGCCACGTGAGGCTCTAACTTGAAATATGGCTGGTGAGACGGACAAATGAGTTTTCGTCTTATTTAATTTGAATTGAACACATTTAAATTACTGCATGTGATTAGTGGCTACCATATGAGACAGCAAAATCCCAGTGAGTGAAATGGGATAAAAGATTTTTAATGAAGTAGATCAAATAAATAAGGAGTGTCAATAAAAGACTGTAAAATTGTCTCCCATTTTAAAAGTCCATAAAGTTTATACACAGAACATATTCAGTTTGTTCATTCCCTTGAGGGAACTAGCAACACGTTTATTGGTCTATAAATACCTAATTTTGTCACGGAAGAAGAGATGTCTCCGCAGAAGGGTGTGAGGAGTTCCCAGAGAGAAAAGGGAACTTGACCCAGAACCAGTCTGGGGTTCTTGACCAACATGATGGGAAAGAATTTCAGCACATGCGGATCAAAGGCATAGACAGAGGTAGTAGATACATATGGAGGGTGGAGGATAAACTCAAAATAGAGATTCCTTTGGGGTAAAAGCAAGGAATATGAACTCAAGGGAGAATGCAGGCTATCTCCAGAGGGAGAGACAGCCACCTTTGGTGTGCGGTGCTAATAAGAGGGCCGGTGCTAGAGGGTGGATAAGAGGTGCAGGCAGAGTGGAACTCCACAATTTCATCAGTTTTTCCTTTACTTGCACGTTTCCCTCATTTTATAGGGGCATGCCGCTCAACCTCAAGACTTACAAGTGTGCTCTCTGCATCTCAGTGGTTGTGGACACTCCCTTTAAGGATTCAGTATCTCTCTCTATGGAAAATCCCTATCTCATTTTCACCTTGGGTGGTGCTGAGGATTGAACCCATGGCCATGTGCATGTGAGGCAAGCATTCTACCAACTGAGCTATATCCCCAGCCCTCATTTCCACCATTCTTTAATGAATAGATGAATACAAACATTATCCCGGGGAGAGGATAATGAAATATACCTAAGACAGTTAGTGAACTCATCAATAGTAAACAATTCTCTATCATTTGTTTATTTTCTTTTAAAAATGTTTTAACATTCTGATTAAAACATTGACTTTAGTTAATAATAAAGCAACAAATTTTATTAAATGTAAAATTTTATTAAATTTTATTTAAATGTGTTCAATTCAAATTAAATAAGACGAAAACTCATTTGTCAGTCTCACCAGCCATATTTCAAGTTAGAGCCTCACGTGGCTAATGACTTCCATTTAGGACACTATGGGATACAGATCATTTTATGGAGAATGTTAATAAAAGGGGAACCTGAGGCTGGGGATACAGCTCAGTTGGTAGAGTGCTTGCCTCACATGCACAAGGACCTGGGTTCAATCCCCACCTCCAAAAAAAGGGGGGGAGGCAGGGTGTAATATGGAACTTCTGTGCTATGTTTGCAATAATTCTCTGAATCTAAAACTGTTCTATTTTTTTAAATTATTTAGAAAAAGCCAATACATAAGTTAAAGATGAATTTTTAATTATTTGTTTGTTTGTTTGTTTATTTATTTATTTATTGAGGGACCTTGGCAACTTAATAATGAGATCCTATTTCTAAATAAATTTAAAAGGGAGGTGGGGACTTGGCCCCCAAGATGAATTTTTAAATTGAAGGATATGGAAATAAGTCCAAAGACTTTTTCTCTAAGCTTTTGTCATTGAAAATCCCAGGCCTCAGCCAGACCAAAGGAACACAAAAGGAACCCCCTCCAGACTGGCACTTGACAGGGACCCTCGTGAGTCACCTGAGGCCAATACTATAAGCCCAGGGAAACTCCCTATATTCACATTCCTGTTCCACCCTAAAAGAAGCC